ATAGATAGATAGATAGATAGATAGATAGATAGATAGATAGATAGATAGATAGATAGATAGATAGATAGATAGATAGATAGATAGATAGATAGATAGATAGATAGATAGATAGATAGATAGATAGATAGATAGATAGATAGATAGATAGATAGATAGATAGATAGATAGATAGATAGATAGATAGATAGATAGATAGATAGATAGATAGATAGATAGATAGATAGATAGATAGATAGATAGATAGATAGATAGATAGATAGATAGATAGATAGATAGATAGATAGATAGATAGATAGATAGATAGATAGATAGATAGATAGATAGATAGATAGATAGATAGATAGATAGATAGATAGATAGATAGATAGATAGATAGATAGATAGATAGATAGATAGATAGATAGATAGATAGATAGATAGATAGATAGATAGATAGATAGATAGATAGATAGATAGATAGATAGATAGATAGATAGATAGATAGATAGATAGATAGATAGATAGATAGATAGATAGATAGATAGATAGATAGATAGATAGATAGATAGATAGATAGATAGATAGATAGATAGATAGATAGATAGATAGATAGATAGATAGATAGATAGATAGATAGATAGATAGATAGATAGATAGATAGATAGATAGATAGATAGATAGATAGATAGATAGATAGATAGATAGATAGATAGATAGATAGATAGATAGATAGATAGATAGATAGATAGATAGATAGATAGATAGATAGATAGATAGATAGATAGATAGATAGATAGATAGATAGATAGATAGATAGATAGATAGATAGATAGATAGATAGATAGATAGATAGATAGATAGATAGATAGATAGATAGATAGATAGATAGATAGATAGATAGATAGATAGATAGATAGATAGATAGATAGATAGATAGATAGATAGATAGATAGATAGATAGATAGATAGATAGATAGATAGATAGATAGATAGATAGATAGATAGATAGATAGATAGATAGATAGATAGATAGATAGATAGATAGATAGATAGATAGATAGATAGATAGATAGATAGATAGATAGATAGATAGATAGATAGATAGATAGATAGATAGATAGATAGATAGATAGATAGATAGATAGATAGATAGATAGATAGATAGATAGATAGATAGATAGATAGATAGATAGATAGATAGATAGATAGATAGATAGATAGATAGATAGATAGATAGATAGATAGATAGATAGATAGATAGATAGATAGATAGATAGATAGATAGATAGATAGATAGATAGATAGATAGATAGAGTGAGAGAGAGAGAGAGAAAGAGAGAGAGAGAGAGAGAGAAAGAGAGAGAGGGAGAGAGAGAAAGAGATAGAGATAGAGATAGATATATAAAATAAAGAGAAAGAGGGATAGAAAAACGGACAAGAAAGATAGAAAGGCATACTTACTTATCAGCCAGGAAGCCGTTCATTGGAGCACCGAAAAATACGCCAAACATATACAAACTAGTATACATGGCACGTAGATACTCACGCCCACATACCAAGTCAAACTATGGAAATACCCCAAAAGTAATGGGAATTAAAATGGTGACGATGGTGCACCAGTAGAAATAATGAAAGTACTAGGAATTGTGATAATAATTATGGTGCTACCGAAGATGAGACTTAAGACAATGACCAAATAAAGGAAGACAGAACAAAAACAATAAGAAAAAACAAATACACGAACGAATTTAATCGGGAAAAGAACTATAATATGATTACTTTCATTCTATTTACTTTTAGTTTTAATTCCATTTGTTACAATGGTTATAAATGATGTGCCGTGAAGTCTGTTTCTATTTGCTTATAAACTACCCTCCTTTAGGCAAGGAATCCACTGGCGGTGCGGGATTTGAACGCGGGTCAGCAAGGTTACTAAACGAGAACAGCACACTAACAGAAACAAAGACCAAAAACCAACGGAAAGAAAAACCAAAAACCAACGGTAACAATGACCAAAACCAACGGAAACAAAGACCAAAACCAACGGAAACAAAGACCAAAACCAACGGAAACAAAGACCAAAACCAACGGAAACAAAGATCAAAAGCCAACAGAAACAAAGACCAAAAACCAACGGAAACCAAAACCAAAATCAACGGAAACAAAGACCAAAACCAACGGAAACAAAGACCAAAAACCAACGGAAACAAAGACCAAAACCAACGGAAACAAAGACCAAAAACCAACGGAAACAAAGACCAAAACCAACGGAAACAAAGACCAAAAACCAACGGAAACAAAGACCAAAACCAACGGAAACAAAGACCAAAACCAACGGAAACAAAGACCAAAACCAACGGAAACAAGGACCAAAAAACTACGGAAACAAAGACCAAAACCAACGGAAACAAAAATCAAAACCAACGGAAACAAAAATCAAAACCAACGGAAAGAAAGACCAAATCCAACGGAAATAAAGACCAAAACCAACGGAAACAGAGATCAAAACCAACGGAAATAA